GTTCGGGCTGACAGCCTTTCCGCGAGGTAGAAACAGCGACTTGCCATGAATGACAGGTGAACTCCCTTCCCAGCAGAGGCTTCAGCCCTTCCTGGTGACAGCCCAAGCGTTAGAAGTAAGTCATGGTGATGAAGGGTTAGTAGCCAAAGTGTCTTGCTGGACCGCTTCCCCCGCGACTCGTTTTTTGGCTTTCTGAGAACCACCTCCGCATGGTAGGCGCTTCCCTTTCCTTCTCGCACCCGGATTTGAATTCGCTCTGGTCCACAGCTGTTGCTGTTACCTTGTGTTGTTTTGCTACTGGTACGTCCAACTCCCCGCATGCGTTACGAAGATGCAGGAATGAAGGGTGGTGCTTCAGAAAGGGCCAGAGCTGATCCAGAGAGTATGCCAGCCTCTCAGAATTCTGGCCTCTGAAATAATTTTTTTGGGGGGGGGTTCCCCAAACTTCAAACTAACCAATCCCACTGCCAGCGAGTCAATTCTGATGCATAGCAACCCTATGGGACAGAGTAGCCCGCCCCGGGTGGTGGTGGGGGTGTTGTGAGGCTGTAAATCTCTATGGGGGCAGGCAAGGCGGTCTCCTCTCTCTCCCATGTGAGGCCCTTTTAACTGCTGATCTTGCAGTTAGCAGCCCAACTTATAATGCATGATGCCCCAGGGGTCCTTGGATGGCCCAACGAACTCAAATTTACTGCCACCGAGTCAATTTGCACTCATAGTGATCCTACAGGGCATGATAGACCTGCTCCCGTGGGTTTCAAAGACTGTAACTCTAACAGGTTCCCCCAATACAACAAAGTAAAGACTGTCACCCTCCTGGTGTAAACTTAGCGCAGGAGGTGAGCTTCCTGTACTCTCTTAGGGCACAAAGGGGGCCAGGGGATGCAGCATTCCGGCAGCGGCAGGAAAAATGGTAGGGCGATGTGTGCACAGGGGCGCTGGGCTCTGTAGCGTTCAGATCTTATCTGTACACAACAGTTAGCGTACTGGGTGCCCTCATGCAGCCCCTGACTTTCCGATTTGTCCCGAAGGCTGGTCCTTCAATCGCCTCATGATCTGGGGCCCATCCCTGTGGATGTGGGGCTCCCTCTGACCGGCAGCCTGGCCCACTCCTGTGACGTGACTGTGCAGTGAAGCCTGAGACTCCAGCACTGGAGGGGACTGCCGGGCTTCTCCTGGTCTCTTCCGACCAGGTGCAGCAGCACCACTTTCCATCCTTGCGTAATGGGAGATGTTGGCCTTTCTTTCTCCCACAGCGTTCTGCCTAAGCCAGCTTCCTGCTTGTACTAGAGGGGTTTGTGCAAAAGTATGTGGGTGTGGACCAACATGCTGAGCCAACCACTGTCCGAGTCTTTTCCCACCTGGCAGAGTCAGGAATTAGCGGCAAAGGTGCTCCATTAAGATGCTGTGTTGTGTTCCCCACCCACCCCCCCTACCCCCACCTCCCGCTGACAAAGCTCGTACTTTACGATACACCTTAAAGAAATTGCCGTTGCTCTCTAATGAAAGATTATTCGCTACCTGCAAGATACTTTAATAGTACATGACTGGATATCGAATAGACAACATTATTTAATCTATGGGCCATTTCGCTTAATTGGCCAGCTCCTTCCTTTCACAACCTTTCTTCCTTTGTTCATTAAAGACCTCTGCCCACATCTGCTTGGGCATCCCAAAATTGGAAACCGCCACCGTATAAGGCAGGCCCTTTTCTGACGTCTAAGACACTGGCCTGTCCTTTGCCCCGCCTGTGACGCCTCACTGGGGAACCTACTAGAATAGTCTAGCTTGTCGGTGTTTCGCATACCAAAGCACTTGCTCAGATTGGTCTGTTTGTCAATGAAGACTTTAGCAGAGATCACATTCCCAAAAGGCATGAACATCTGCAGGATGTCCTGGTCTCCAAACTCCTGTGGAAGGTGGTAAATAAAGAGGTTTGCCCCCTCTGGACCTAAAGGGAAGAGGAGGAAGAAAACACAAGTCAGAGAGTAAGGTAACCCTTGTGTCTTAAGTTCTGAAAGCCCCTTCTTAGGAATGGCTGCAGCAACAGCCGAGGGAGGAGCTAAGCATTTGGCTTTCCTGTGTACGGAGAATGCACAACTGACGGATAAATGCCAAGTGCTGGGGTGACTTGCAGGAAAGTAATTGTCCTTCAGATTTCGCCCCGATTTCCACAGAGACAGTGGTTGGAACGGCTTCCTTCCCACAGCTACTCTTGCAAGGGTCACACGGGCTGACAGTGCATGAGGGCACATTTCTGATCATCAGGGGACAGAGAACCCACTGGGTCGAGAGGTTCCTCCTTTCCTGGATGGCTGTCTTCTGTAGTATGCAAGAGAGGGCCCTGCGCGTTCTAAACAAGTGGCGGCAATTTAGAATAACAGATACAGCCACGATGCTGTATCTCAATCATTTACCTAATTATCCAGCCAGTTTTGATTTGCCAGACCTCTTACCACACAGTCTAAGGATCATCTTTATTAGAAACGGCTGGCAACGAGTCAAGACGGGGGTGTCGGGAGCAGTGTAGCCGAAGCCTCACCACGGTGATCGGAAGGATGCTGCTGGGAACTGGGCTTGGAAGTAGACGCACTGGACGTGGGAGCTCGTCCAAGAATACGGGACACCAAGCTCCGCACTCTCACCCAGGTGCTTCCCGGAACACCCAAGAGGCAAGGGCAGGAGGCAGAAGCCCTCAGCTAGGCTAGCTGGTAAGGGAAGCTCTCCCCTCGTCGCCTCTCATTTCATTTCCTCAACTCTCCCCACCGGCCCAGGAGCGACCCGAAAGGTAGCGGTGGGTGGCAAGAAGGAAAAGGAACAGGGAGGAAATAACCGGATGGAAGGAAATCCTCTGCTGGCTGGCCTACAAGAGGGCTTCAAGAAGTTCACGGGAAAATGCCATCAGCTTTTCCTTCCATTTTCCACAGACTTTTTGCAGCCCCCTTGCATGGCACACCAGAGTATGTTCCAGGTCAAAGGGTGCATGGCATGGGGGCAGATCCTTGGTTGCTGGTCTGTACCTGGTTGGACCTTCCTGGCTGGAGAGTAAGGGCAGGCCCAGGTCTTGGCCTGCCTGGCAGGCATCTGGGAGTGAAGGGCATTCGGGATGGTGTGAAGTGACCCCTCTCAGCTGGTTCATGGAACCTGGACTGGCATTCACAGTGAGGAACCAGGGGCCACAACAGACCCCTTTAGAACAGGTTACCATGTGTGCCCAGGTAGCTGCGGGGCTGGGGTGGGGGTGCGACCTGTGTATATGGATTGGAGGGAAAAAATGGTAGAATTTGCTTTGTAGAAATGAAACGGAATATCTTGTATAAAAGGCAGCCAAGTTATGTTGCCACCATAAGCGAATCATAAAAGGAAAACAATGTTCTAATGAATGGGAATGGGAATTTTTTTTAACCGGGGTGGCTTCTTAAAACAAGTTTCTGATGTCATGGGGAGGGAGCGTGGCTTTCTTACTTAGCTGTTCCCTTTGCACACCGCTCAGCGTCTCCCTGGACTAACGCACACTCCGGGCGAGGCAAGGTGGGGGGGGCTGCATCTAAAGCAGCGGTTCTCAGCCTGTGGGTCGCGACCCTTTTGGGGGTCGAATGACCCCTTTCATAGGGGTCTCCCGATTCACAACAGTAGCAAAATGACAGTTATGAAGTAGAAATGAAAATAATTTTATGGTTGGAGGGGGTCAACATGAGGAACGGTATGAAAGGGTCGTGGCATTAGGAAGGCTGAGAACCACTGCTGGAAAGGACCCCAACATGGCAGGGCTTATCAGGTCCCCCGATGTTTCCTGTGTTTGTTTTTGTATTTAAAAGAAAACCAACAACACACACACACAGTCTCTTAAAAAAAACACAAAACAAAAACCCAAACTTAGTATGAACACATGGAAAAAATCCGACACTAGCTTTCTGAAGGCTACCGTGCCACGCACACCCTTTGCAATATGTATGTAGGTCAAGTCTGCTAACATTCCAGATTTAATGTCCCTTCTAAATAAAAAATCCAAAGGCGCAAATGAGGATTAATGAGACCCAATTTGAATTGTGAGGCACATCTTACCTCCTGAAGTCCAGGGAGAAAATGCAATTTTAATGACCCAAGACAGGGATTACTGGCTACGCTTGGGTAACCCTGGCTTCCCAGAATGCTTTTCTGTCTGACGATGCCGGGCAGGGAGAGGACCAGGGACTCACAGAGACAGTCAGCAGGTCCATGGGGGATTGCTATTTTCGTCCATCATGTCTCCCGAGGAAGAATGCCAACAGCATCACTTCTGAAGACCTCCCTCCTCTTTGTTTTAATCAGCAAGAAACAGTTGGATTTCAGAAGCGGGCCCCCACCCCCATCTGATACTAATTGGGGAGAACAAAAGAACACCCTTGAATGGCAATTCAGACTTGTAGGGCCATAGATATCAAGGGCCAAAAAAAATAGCTCTGAATATTTCTATGTATGCACTATTCTCTTCCTTAAGTGGTAATAAGTCGTTTGTTAGATGTCTTCGAGTACGACTTTGGAGCGTGGTTGTATTACTGGTCCCGGCGCGTTGGGTGTTGACGGTCTATATTTCTCACACGGCGCCTGCTCTGGCACAGAGCACTGGGGTGGTTTGTGAGAATGAAATGTTTCAGGCCAAGGCTCCAGCAGCTTCCTGGGCAGCTTGCGCTACCTGTGTGTAGGGAGTCTTGCCTCTTGAAAATAAAGGGTGACAGGCTATTGAGTGGCAAGAACTCTCCTGGTGACCAACTCTCCTGGCTTTGGATGGTTAGGGATACCCTACCCTTGACAAGATTTGGCTGGGGAGAAAACGGTTCAGGCGTCCTACAACCAGAACCGCTCGTTTGCCTTTGAGGAGACAGGTAGTCCGGAGTGCCTGGTTTCAATCTCTTATCAAGTGAACTTGCTACCCTCTTCTCTAAAGAACCACCGGGCAGACAATCGAGAAGTAAATCTAATATTGAAATCCATTATGGAATAGTCCCCCGCCAGTATTGTCGCTGTGATATGTCATGGTATGGAATTGGAGGCACGGGCCCCACCCTCCCGGGCTTCTGGCGGTCACCTTTACAGGGCAGACCACCACGTCTCCCCACCCACAGGGCCACTGGTGGGCAGCTGAATGCTGACGCATGGTGCCACCAGGGCTCGGTGGAATTTTCCTTTTAAATGACGTTTTACTTCGGCTGATATTAAAACGGATCACATTTCTTGAGCACGGGCTAACGAGGTGAGATGAGGGGCTAATCATTGAACAGCCTCTCCCCCCAAAAAAACCCATTAACGCCCCCTAACCGTGCTACAGGCAGCCCACATATCTAAATATGGATCGTCCGAGTGGGCAATGGATGTTTTGAATTGTTTTATGGTAGTCCCAGGGGTCAAGTGCGGCACCAGCAGTCAATGCCCAAGATTTAATTTAAGTCAGGGAGGTGTTAGGGCAGGGCTGCGGGAGGGGGGGGGCAGCTGTGAGGGCCCAGGAGATGATGGAGAAAGGACCCACACTCTCTGAGATGTGTGGTGTGGACTCCCTCTGCTCACGTGGATCAGGATGGCAATGACACCGGGCACAGAGGGACTAAATGCCGGGTTGTTGTTTTCAACTCAGGAAGACATGTGGTACTTTATGATCTAGGGCCTTCCTCACATGCCTGGTGAGACACAGCTGTCCGAACAGTTGTGCATGTTTTAAAAAACTCGCGACGACAATCACCGCTCAGAGTAAAGAGAAAGCAGCAATGATGAAAAAATAACCGAGGTTCTCACCCAGCTGTCCTTTGTAATGATACTTCCAAATATTTATAAACAGAGACACAATTCCTTCTCCTTCCTTTTCCCCCCCACGAGAACCCTTTAGGCTGTGTCCCCTGAAAGGGTGCAACTTTATAAAGTAAAATTGCTCCCTTTCCTACAGAGCATGTCGTTGAAGTGATCCAAACAGGCGGGGTTTGGAACTGTGGGTGAGGGAAAGCACCTTCTGAACTTCGGGTTTCCATCCTCCTCTGGTCGAACTGTGGCCCCACCCTCTATTCCACACAAGTCGGATAGGCAAGAAAAGGGAGGCCACTGGTTTTATTTCAAAGCAACGTCAATGAAAGAGGAAGAAAACCTTATTTGGAGTAGCTCGTTAGCCATTTTACAATGAGCTTCAATTTATTCTGAACAGTAACTTCCTGAAGTTTATTTTGCCTTATTGGCAGAGAAGCAAGGCAATCAATCATTCATTTGCTGTCTCAGAAGACAACTCCCCCCCCCCAAATAAAGAACAAATCAATCCTTACAGCAGGTTTTATCAACCTCAAAACTTGTACCTATTCAGAGGCAGCCACAGAATCACGCCCCGGGACCCGCAGGAGCGGGACGAGGCTGCACTCAGGAGACAGGTGCGGAGGGATCTGTTGCTAGGGTGTGGGAAGCAGGGAAGGTGCCTGGCAACTTTGTTGCTGGCAGAAACGAAGGCCGAATGGCATGTGAGCGAACCCACACTGTGTTGGCATCCGTCTAAGAGATGGATGAAAAACTTCAATCAAGCGCTGAAAGACCGTCGTCAGACTTTCTCTTGTGAAAGAAATCTGCAAGTCTAAATGTCAGACTGAAACAAGTGGCGTGGCCCTGTGAGCTGCGTGTCTCCACACTATTCCTGTTGTGTGTGTTTCCAAACCGCCGGTTTCCATCCCAAAGCTGACTCCGTTTCTTGGAATGTGCTAGAGAGGAGGTGGTTATCCGCCGGGCGGGCACGTACCTTCTTTCTGGCTGCCTGCCGCGCTCTGCTGCTGCAGCAAGCTCTGGCTGTACAGAGTGGGCAGTGCTGCGGCTGCGTACTGCTGGATTCCTGAGTAGGCCTGCGTGAGCGCGTCCATGGTGCCCGCCGTGCCATTCGTCAAGCCCGTGGCGCCAAGTCCGCCATTCAGAGCCGCCATACCTGAGAGCATTTGAGCAACTTTACCAAAAACCCAACAATAGAGAAGAGAAATAGCACTTACTCATTAGTGCTTTCCAAAGGAAGTTAGAGAATCATTTGACAAGGACAACAGCAAGAGCATGCAGTTAGCACACCAATGAGACTGACAGGAAATGGAAAACATGGAGTGATGGCATAAGAAATCATAGCAATGGAAAACCCAAACCCACACCCAAACCCTGAGCCATGAGAGCCCTTCCTCCGTAGGCCAGGGATCAACTGCGAGGAGGCACTACAGTGAAGGGGACACATCTGCATTCCATGCAATGGGCTACGGGCAAGCACTGTGGCTGCCTTCTTGAAATACAATCCTTCTGCTTCTTCGAACTTAGAAGGATGCAAACAAGACAAAACCCAAACAGTAGCGGCGGAGGTCCCTTCAATGCGTCCACATGGCTCTTGGAGGAGTCACGGAATGAATGGCTCTCAGGTTGAGGGAAAACAAAATAGAAACCCAAACTCACAGCCATTGAGTCAATACTGACTCATAGTGACCCTCTAACCATTTAAAGTCTCATATCGTGTCCCACCTTCTCCCACAGAGCGGCTGGTGATTTTGAACTGCAGACCTTGCAGATGGCAGCCTGATGCTTAACCACTACATCAAGGAGGAAAGGAACCACAAGACTTCTTCCTTAAGCTGTTTGATGAGGAAGTGGCAGGGCAGGCAAGCTCTGTACTCTACAAATGAGTGAGTCAGCAGTTTCACAGCCTGACTTTCCCTAAAACTGTTGTAGAGTGTTTTCAGGAACTAGGGTCTTAGAAATGACCCAGCAGGTTAAGAATTAAGGCACAGCTCTCTCTCTCTCTCTATATATATATCTATATATAATCTCCGTCCTCTAAGGACAGATAACTGAAGCTGTTGATTCAATTCCAAAAGGCTGGAACTTGAATGGAGCCGTTTCAGTAGCAAACAGCTCACACATGCACACATGAATATTCATCAGTGCACATGTACCAGGGTCTCTGCCAAGGAATAAGCTCCATGTCATGTTTTCCAGTCAACCAAAGTGACACCTATGTCTGTAAGTTGGATCTTGGCTGTGAACTAGCATGAACTGGATGTCAGCTGGCAATGTCAAATTCCCCCTGAATACGAAGTGAAAACAAGCAGCTTTGTAGCGGGTTAGTTTCCCGTTGAACTTAGGAAATAGGGGCAGTGCCATCACAATTGTCATCCGTTCCCTTTAAAATGAGGAATACAACTAAGAAAAATCTGTTTCTGGGAAGAATTAACTGAATGCCTCAATGTCAATATTAAAGGGGTCCATGCTGCTGGTTAGAGATGTCATCGTAGAAGATGGCTCAGAGGAAAACGGCAGAGAAGACTCAGGAGAGGACAACTGAGACAATGATGCTTGGAGATTAGAGTATGGAATCAAATCTCGATTCATCTCAACACGCCTATCAATGCTACCGGTTAGCTGCAGAAATAGGGGAGATGGGAAGGCTCTGTTTACTCCATTATATGCTGTTTTGACAACTTCATCTCTTAGGTGAAAAGGACAGTATGCAAGAGAGGAATCAGGCCAGGGACTGAGAGCAGAGGAATCTCAGAGAGCTGCAGGCATGCTTTCTCCTGGGAGGCTTGAGGAGACCAAACGGGGGCTGGGTGATGGGCTACCAAATACAGTCTTCCAAGGAAAGACAGAGGATGGTGGTGAGGATCTCCAAGAATCAAGAGCCCACTGAAAGTAGGATATGAACTCAAGCCAGATCGATGAAGCACAAATATTAACTGCTTCATTTTGGTCAGTCTGTTTGGAATAGGAGGTAGGGATACAGATGACCAAGTCGTGGTGTCACCCACCCCTCTGGGAACTCAGGACCCAGTGTGGGAAGAAATTCTAGGAGGTGAGAGTGAGCAATGACTCACCACTTTTCTCTACTTGGACCCCAAGGTGCATCCCTTCCGACAGGGCTGTGTACGATGAAGCTGCTGGACAAATACGGGCCGAGGCAGAAGCCACACTAATAGGGACACTTCTGTTTAAACCCTGCCACTCAACTGGAGTGGCCTAGAACATGGACCTCCGTGATGTCTTGTCAGCCCAGACCCGAGCAGTTTTCCTGCCCTGAGGTCAGACAAGACCCTGATGAAGGCCTTCCTGGGATTTGAACCACCCTAGCCTGGTTTTTCCAGAGGACTGGATTCCACTGCCGTGGTCACTGCAACCCTTCTATCTTCCTCGAGGAGGATTGTCTGCTTCTACCTCTAGCTCTTTCCCCCTTCTGACCAAAGCAAGAGGAGTGGGGTGGGCAGGGTGCTCACCTGAAACCTAGCACCAGGTAAACACCATGTTCCTGAAGGACTGGACAGATATTTCAGGACTCCATAGGAGTCCCGTGAGGCTTGTAGCTCTTGAAAGTGACACTCCAGCCATGTGCCCACACCCTTCCTGGCTACACTTCGCATGGCTAGCCTGCTTCTTTGGAACCACACCTCAGGGTGGCTCTGCGTTCTTAAGGGGCCTCTGTTAGCTTCTGCTGCCACTATGTCCCAGGAGATCATCTTGGCAGGAGAGGATACACCAGGGAAAGCTTACGGCTCCCAGAGGGAGGACGGGTCGCCCTTGCCGTCCAGTGTCTACCCGTGTTTTCCAACAACAACAATGAAAGGGTAAAAGTTCTTACAAGTGCAATGAAAATACTGGAGACCTGTATTTCCAACATCCAGGAGGCTCAGGAGCATGGACTGGCAGAGGGAGTGGATTAAAATGAAAACACGACTCATTGCTAGAGGGTTGATTCTGACTCACGGTGGTGACCTTATCGGGTTTCCAAGGCTGTAACCTGAAGCCGAGGGCCACATCTTTCACCCCTAGAGGGCTGTTGGTTTTGAACTGCTGACCTTTCAGTTTGCAGCCAAGTGCTTAACCACTGTGCCACCACAATGGTTCTTCAGTAGTCAGTTACATGGAGGAAATCAAAGAGCCAGCCAAAGAAGATGTCAACTTTTAAGAGTCATTCCTGTGAATTCCTAGCGGTTTTCCTGAATGACACCATCCCATGGAAGATAACCTATGTCACTTCAGCGGTGGTTGCCTGATTATCTCTAATAACTCTGGACAATAGAGGCAGAAGTTTAGCCAAGTTAAGGCGAGCAAAATCTTAGGCTTCAAAGAATAGGATTTTTCTTCGAGAAGGTTGAAAGGATTCTTCCTGTGTAATATTGAAGGCTAGGATAAAATGACAGGGGTGGCAAATCTCAACAAGGCCAGGTCTTGGAAAATGGCCTAGAAATATAATGAGCGCACACACTGATTGCTAAGTGCTTTAAACTTACATTGTGCTCCACAGGGCCTCAGCTGACTGTGACCCAAGGAGTGGTGAGATTACTGATGGCTCTGCTACAGTGACCTAGAAAGCTCCATCCAGCGGAGTGTGAGTGTTCTTTGTGGGTGCTATGGGAGGGCACAGCCCACAAGCAGACTCAATTCATGGAAAAGCCACTCTGCTAGGTTTTAAAGAGAGCAAGTGAGCGCAAAAGTGAGGGATGCGTTAATACATTTGAATATATTTATACTCTATTTACTGGGATAATTAAGCTGATACATGAGAATTTAAGTATAATGTCTAGACTCAGGGTAGATGAGTTCTCAAAGGCAGCATCATCAATGGAGTTTACCCACATTTCTGTGTGTAGGGGTTTGTTTCCATGCACATGTATCTACTTGCCTATAAGTTTATATATTCCAAGGATATAGACTAAAACAGTAATTTCATAGTATCAACAAAGAGCAAAAAGACACAATCACATGCCTCAAACATCTCTTCTCTTTTTCTTTACAGAAAAAATGTCCATCAACACTATTGACCGGGCATGTGTATTCATTAAAGCCCTTATAATGCTAAGCCCTGTATCACCAACCATTTGGAAGAATTAGACTGGGTGAACAAGGGAAATGAGGTTGTCAGTTGACAGACATTTACACATACAAAATCAGGTACAGACCTGGAGGTGGGCATATCCGTCAAAAATTGATATCCAGATGTTTCTAAAACATGCCCAGATAACCCTAAATAATAGAGAGGTAGAAGCTCCCATTTGGTGAATTACCCACATTCCTTGTTTCTATCTTGATCGTGTTGTACTGCTGTACTACTGTTCAATTCCCTCATTTAAGACAGTAGGAGCTAGCAAGATGTTTATAAATACATGCACAAAAGAAAATCTTTCTGATTCGATGAGGGCTGCTAGCACAGAACTACAGTATAAGCCAATCTAAATATCAGCTGCGACAGCTAGTTTTAACACAAAAACTGCATACAAAATGTGCTGAAAAAGTTAGGCTATCAAACTCAATAGTTTAACTTTGCTACTTATCTGCTAACCAAAATTCCCTTCTCTAGATGGGCCTACGTGAGTGAAAATCTAGGTCAAATAAGACAATAACATTTGGACTGAGGTGAGTTTGGGAATAAACGGTGTGTTCTAGCTATCTACTTTCTCTTTGTCCATGGGGAAAAGTTGGTTTTGTTCAGAAAACCAGACACCACTCTTGTCATGGCACGAGAGAGGCGGAAGGGGATAAGAGAAAGCAACAATAGCGAGGTCGGGATTTAGAAGCGGACTCTGTCAGGTAACTATTTAACTGCCTTCTTAGAAAAGCATCCAGTAAGACAGGTAGGTAGGTACTCCCCATCATTTCTGCAGAGGAAGAAGGTTTGACTAAAAGGACAGTCTGTGTTAGAAGGTTTTCTCAGCCTTCTATGAAACCATTTGGGCTGAGCAGCAAATAAGCTTAAAGACAATGTTGGGGGAAGAACATGGCTCTGTGCTAGCAGCCCTCATTGAAGCAGGAGGGCTATCTTTTGTGCATGTATTTATACACGTCGGTTTCAGTGAACATCTTGCTAGCTCCCACTGTCTGGTTGGGGTAACTTGAAACCAGATATACTCTTTCCTACTGCCCTAAGAACTATAAACGCCTATATTAACCCAATGGCATAGAATTAAAGGAAAAAAAAAATACAGAGAAAGGTTTTTAACCCTGTTGTCCTTGCCAGAAGCAGAACGCAGATAGCACAATAGCCCGCGCGAGAAGTGGTCATGGTTTTTCTGCCATTCCACGAAGTCCCTCTCCAATAATGATGGGGACATCCCAGCCACGTGCAACATGAGCGGATGGAGGCGAGCTGGATGACGCAGACGAGGACACACCACACGGAGCAGTCAGGAGCACGTGCTGAGGAGGACAACCATTCCCACTGGCCTGTGGCTTTGCAAGGACAGGTGGGCAATCGAATCAGTCCTTGTTTAAGAGGAACTAGGTCCTGGGGCAAGAGAAGCAGCATGAAGTGATGTGTGCGGACCACACGTCCGCGACCTGGGGGAAGGCCGACAGGGTTGGGGCTTCTGCAGAAGGGGATCAGAAAGAGGGGCTGTACCAGAAACAGAAGTGCAAGCAATGGCGGCTCGTACTTGCTGCTGGAAGAGGTGACAACTGGAGGCAGTTTTAACTGGAATGAAGCATCCTGGTTCATCACAGGTAGGGACCACTTCAGGCATTATTCACCAACCAAGAACCACCATGTGGGGAAGGAGAATGGTTCTCTTTTCTTCTTTTTTTGCCTAAGCTCAGGCAAAACACAGTGCACATTTTGGCTGTTTTTCTCCCCAGAGCACCGGAGTACACATTTTGAATAAGGCCCCAAAGCGGCCTATGTCTAAAGCTACTTTCTTATTAAGATGATAAAAATTAGTCCTTATTTGGATACCATCTGGCCTCCTCCTGATCAAATACATTATAAGGTGTTCTTTCTGAAGTTGTAAATGAGAGGATTACTGGGATTTTGTGCTGAAAACATTTTATTTTAATTGCCCGATCATCTTTGAGAAACACATAACTTATTGGATCGTGGCTTGAAATAGGGCAGCTTGCCAAAAATCAAACCAAACCAAACCAAAAGACACCTCCCCCCAAACAATCCAAAACTGACTCACAGCAATCCTCTAGAGCAGGGTTAGAACTGCTCCTGGCGTCTCAGACGAACTCTGTAAGGCAGTTGAAAGCCCTGCCTTTCTCTGGGGCAGTGTGTCATATACTTCTATTCATGCTTATGGTGGGTGGCCTAGCTGTATGACAGGTATCCCAAGAGCATCTCTATTGGCTCTCGTGACCCTGCCCTTGGTTCCCCTCAGGTGAGCAGTGAGAGCGAATTGTGGGGAAAGTAATGGTGTCTCCTTAGTGAGCGGACAATCCGTTTCCCCTATGGATTTGGGAGCCTATCCCAAACAGAGCCTAATCTATAGCTGCCCCACCTGGGCTGAAAATGACAGAAACAGGCTTCTTCCCATTGCTCCCAGAGCTCTTCAGTGAGTCCTGACTCAGGACCCAATGTGTTTTTGTGAGCTCCAGACTAATGTCAACCTGCCCTCGCCAAAAGGATGCAGCACCTTTGGAGAGCTGCTACCGCAGTGACCTAGGATGCAGGGTCTAACGCGGCTTCCACGGGATGCTACTTGCCACAACATCTCCTCTCCACTCCACTTCTTATCCATTTGTCTAAGGCCTCTCTTTTTCCTCCCTTCTCTTTCTCCAGGGCAGGAAGGGATCTGGAAGATCTGATCCACCAGCCTTAATTAGCAAATGGGGGCTTTGAGGCCCAGAAAGCAGGCCGGTGATGTGGCTAAGGTTCCCCAGGTGAATGGGAGTAGACCTGGGTGTCCTGGTTTCTAACTCCTGAGTTCTGCTCTTCCAGCACACTGCCTCTCCGAAGACCAGATTAACACCAGGACCTGAGAGTGCCCGTCAATCTGTGGGGGAGGACAGACAGTCCAGGTCTGAAGAGCTTGTGGGGCTGGTGAGTAGTGAGCTGTTTTCAAGACAAAAACAAATGCAGATATAGCTTTAGTTCCCCCATGGCTTATTCCTCTTAGGTCATTTCTCGCTGACCATTGATTGTGGAGAATTTGGGGGAAGGCTGTCCACCAGAGCAGCAAATACTCACTGTTGATGGTACCTGCTAGTGCATTAATATTATTCAGTCCGACAGTGGCTCCAGCCAATCCTTGCAGAGTCCCAAGGGAGGTCAAGGAATTCATGGCTGCACCAGCAGTGGAATTGGGGGTTGAAGCTGCCACTGGAAAATAAAAGGAAGACAGGGGGAGAGAAAGCACAGATGAGTGAAAGCCAACTGGACCAGAAAGCAATCTGTTGGCCTCGCAGCAGATGGGGCTAGGGAGTCGTTTAATCATCCTGAGCCTGTGAGGCGTGCTCCCATATTGGGGTGTGAAAGACATATGGGGATGGCACTTGTCGCAATTCTGACGATTTGATTTGGTGATTTAAAAAGTCATCAGAGAGTTCTTTTGCCAGGGGAGTTCCAATAAGTACGTTCAGTGCTGGTTGGTGGCGGACATTAGCAAATGCAACCTTCTGAAAGAAGGCTGAGAGGCCAATCCTTCTGGGCAAGGGGGTCTCACGTTACTGGGCAGAGCCTCCGTCTCATCCAGGAACTCCCCAGAGGTGGGTGGTGAAATAAAATGTCCATTGTCACTGTTATTATTGTTATACACTTTCCCAGTTTGCTTTTGAAAACAAAACAAGATCTACATCCTTCAAGTTTGACCCAACACTTGGAGACAGAGGCAGTGAGAGAGGGGAGCGTGTTATGAGATCAAACCACTTTGGTTTCAACCCTTTCCCTCTTCCTTTTCTTCTAAAGTAACTGTTTTCTAATTCACGTTTTATAGAAACTGCCATCTTAAAACGTGCAGTTCTGTGGTGACTAGTATGCTCACAGGATTGCACACCCATCACCACCTCCTACCTTGAGAACATCTTTACCACTCCCGAAAGAAGCCTCCAGGTAAGCAATCACTTCCCCCTCCCCACCTCCTGCCCCCATACTGGCAACCTCCCATCTATTTTCTGACTTTATCCATTTGCGTGGCCTAGAGATTTCCAGTTTGTGGGCCATATTGAAAAAAAAAATCACTGGTTCATTTATAGGCATTTGGACACATTTTGGTGATTAGAAATCATGACGCTGTCAACATTTGTGTACCTTTTTAAGGGTAGGCACGTGTTCTCAATTCTCTTGGTTAGATATGGATATACGCCTGGGAGTGGAATTTCACTCCGATGTCATTCATTTTAGGTTTAACCCTCCCAGGCACCCTCAGACTGTTTTCCAAAGGGGCTGCACCCCCATTTATTTTGCATTGAGAATTGCCTCTGTCAAAAGCATCTTCAATGATCTTACATGAGTATAGTTTTGGAATGTGCCGATCTTTTCCATCTCTCTTACTTTGCAGGGTAAATCAAACTCTGACCATTACTTTATTCTCACTCACTGCCAGCGAGCCTACAGCACAAGGTAGACAGAACTGCTCCTATGATAAGGTGACCAGATTTAGAGCAGGACACCATTGACTGGGGGGGCGGGGGTAGTTCCTTGATTAAAAATTTGGTCTATATAGTCAAATAGACCATTCCCTAGCTTGTCATGCATTCTGGCCCAAAATCGGGACGTCTGGTCCCCTTACCTTACAGGTTTCTGAGACTAACGCTAAACAGGCCAAGAAAGTCTCATTCATCTCTCTCGGAGCAGCTGGTGGTTTCGAACTGCTGACTTTGAAGTTATCAGTCCAGCAAGTAACTGTTATGCTGCCAGGGCTCCTCAACCACTGGCAACAAGAAGCCTTTGGTCCGTTTCTAGCTGGGAAGGCACCTCATGGCAGCATCCTCTCTGAGGGCCAGGATGCCCCTCCATCCTGCTGGAGTGCCCCTGCCCCTCGGAGCTCATCCTTATTCTGCCTTCAGGGGCTGCATTTTGTTGCTTGAAACACACTTTTCTTGGAAGCCCTTTGTGTGAGGGCCAGATGCAATTCACCTCTCCCTTGTCTCCTTTCGGACACCACCAAGCCAATGTAGCCAATCCTTTTATATTGAAGACTTTTCAAATATACATAAAAACAGAAAACATAAACTCCCATCCAGCTTGTAGAATACTTGAGAATCAATCTATCCTCCTTTGCCCCTCCTTAAAGTCAATTTCAGACTGATGTAATCTTACCTCTAGGCCCTTCAGTATGCAGCTCTGAAAAATGTGAACATTTTCTTTTAAAGCCACAAAATCATTGTTAAAGTGAAATTTCAAAAAATTTCTTGGACTCATTATTTGGTGGTATAACGTTCCCCCCTCCTCCCCCATGGTGGGCAAGAATAAGACTGGTCTTCAGTTTTCTTTCTATGCCTTTCCTTAGATCTGCTACCTGGTTTTGCCAGTGAGTTGATGAACTGATGCTTCCTTATGGGATGACTTAAAAATACTGATTGTGGCCCGGGGAAAATGGCGACCCGATAGGACGCACCCATCCGGAGCTCCTGCTGCCAGACCAGAAAATTGGGAGGTGAGGTGGAGTCCAGAAATTAGAACTAGGGTCTCTCCTGAACCCCTTTTTTTGTGTGTGACTTTCACTCACAAAGCAAACCAAGAACGCTTTAAAGCACTCTAGCTTTGGCGGGGCCACAGCTTCTCCAGGCTGACGCCTTAAAGGGGACAGTACCCCAGACACAGGAGAACCCCACGCCGGAGCTCTCCACCTAGGGAGTGGCGGTGGCTAGTAGCCATAACTTAGAATAGATTATTACCTGAAGTACATCGTGGTGTGGGAGAAAATAAGCGGAATTAATTCCAATTGGCCGAGAAGGAAACAACCCCCCTGATAAGCTGGATCTCCCCCTCTGGGGACCAGCCTGACAGCCCCCAAATCAGAGCACATCACAAGCAAAAAAAAAAAAAGGTGAAGTATATATTATTGGTTAATATATCAAACCGCAGTCTGGCTTCTCAGCTCCAAAGAGTACATAGGCTGGGGTCATTAGCCTAAATCAGCATAAGAAGTAACATAGCTGAGGAATTCCAGAACCCAGCTACAGGGCCTGGCGGCTTTTTGCATAACAAAGACCCGCTGTAGCAAGTGTCAGTTTCAAACAGCATGGAGCTGCAGACTAGAGATTGTGTGTGACAAGTTAATTTGATTTTAGTCTAGCTGGCCAAGGGGATAATAATAAAAAAAAAAAGCCTCTGATCTAGTAGTAGGACACCAGCAGCCTAGGTAGTACAAGCCCTAGACCAGGCTGTGGGACACCCGCCCCCGCCCTGCAGTGCTACAAACAGCACAAGGCAGGCATACCAGTAAAATCCAGAGCTCAACGGACACCTGGTCACAGGTACGATCTTGCCTTTGAAAGTAGTCCCACACAGCATCTGTAGAACCCTACATAAAACGGGTACAGCACCCTGCTACCTAGAGTTGGAACTCCTCCAGCTTCACGGAAAGGTTATCAAGCCTCAGTTATCACCTTACCTACAACTCTATTTTCTCTTTTATCATAAACTACTACTGACTTCCAGATCACTACCCTCCATTTAGGGCAAATCAACCCACAGAGCAGGAGGAACTGAAGCCCGCCGTCCGTGGGAGTGCCGAAAACTGCACAAGGCAGCTGGGACAAACATCTACACTGCGCTGCTGAGGAAACCTCCGTTGGACCTCTAGGTGAGCTCATCAACTAGGGCAATACTGCCCAGCACCACTGGGTCCCTGCATTAAAAGGGCACACCAAGCTGTCGTTGTGAGGCAGGGTCTAAACCCCTTGGGCCCAACATACAAGTAATCAGGGATCAGCTATCTCTTTATTTCCCCCTCCTCCCTCTTTACCATCACAGACAATCTTAGTGAACACAGTGGGTCTTTTCTTTTCTCTTTCTCTCCTCTTTCATTGTTCTCTTCGCTTCTCTCACT